TCCAGTCTGGGAGACAGAGTGAGAGTCCAACTCAAAATAAATAAATAAATAAATAAATAATAAAAATAAAAAGCCATCACTAAGGTACCTGACCCTAAACCAGGGCAAGTGAGGACCAGCTGGAGGCCCAAACTTCACCTGCACATAGACTGCTTATGTACCTAATCCTGACTTGTACCCCACATCTTTATTATGACATAAAGTAGGAAAAATAAACAACCAAAAAAACCACAAAAGGCTTTTGAGCTGAGGAATGGCAATCTGACTACATTTCCTAAGGGTCACTTTGATCGCTATGAGAACAGACTCAGGGTAGGAAAGGTGGGAGCAGGACAACCAGCCAGAAGCAGTTAAAAAGCCGTTGTAATAATCTGGGAAGGAGGTCTGGCTATTTAGACAAGGGAACTGGAATTGGGCATGGAAAGAAGTAAAGCAGATGAGAGTCACATACAAAGAAGCATAGTTTCTTGGTTCTTATCTGAATTCCCTTCTCTTTGGTTTGCTGTGTTCCTCATGTAAAACTTTTCTTCCCTTAGGAAGTGAAAAATATCTCAGGGGAATGACTGATGCTTTGTGAACATGCTAAGTCACAATCCGAACACATTCTAGGTAAAGTTTCTAGAAATTTAGGTTCCCACTGCCTACCCAAACTTGAATACTCTAGGACACAAAGCCACTCCTGGGGCCTAGCATGTTACAGAGGGGGCCAGTCCTCACCCACGGAGAGCAGGTTCTGGAAGTTCTCCAGCATCACATCTCGGTACAGCTTCCTTTGGGCAGAGTCCAGCAGCCCCAGCTCCTCCTCGGTGAAGGCCACAGCCACGTCCTTGAAGGTCACTGCCTCCTATAATATTAAGCACATATAACCTTATTCTTATCAACAACAATCACTGGGAGATAGATAACACTGAGAAACAGAGAGGATGGATGGGAAGTTGTTGTAGATGCTGAGAGACATAGAGCAACTTAAAAGGTTTCCCATCCATTCTGTCTAAACACATTGACTTTTCTGAGCTCCACCAGAAGTACAACAAAAGAAAAGTTCTGTACTTTCACTTTGTGCAGTTATTAAATCTACTTGTAAGTAACCCTCTAGGACTCTAAATGATGCATTCTGGGCTTCACAGATTTAAGTTAGATTGCATCCTGCCAATTGCCCCATCAACATTTAGCAATTCAGTCCCAGCCTTGCATGTTAAAGCCCATTGCCCTCCTTTCTCAAACTCAAACCCTAGATGCTATCATGTTTCTTTAATAGTTTCCAAATTATCAAGCTTATGGTGACCTGTGTGGGACAACTATGAAGTGTATCCTCTGTAAGGCACAAATGATATACATTAATTGCAAATTTCAATGTCATGATATGAAAGCAGGGTATCTCAAAACACATCCCAAGGCTCTGTCCCTTCCCAGTTGTTTGACCTTAGACCAGTTCACCTACATGCTTTAGTTTCTTTTCTGTATAATGATTCTGACATGGACATAGTCTTTTCCTGGATTAAATAAGGGAATACAAACAGAATTGGGAAAAGTATATGGCACAGACCAAGTACTTAATAAACACTGTTTTTATTATCTTTTTCTTATAACTGTCATTATTATTATATATTTCATCTCATTTCATGTCTGTATAGCATTCCAGGGAACAGATGACCTATTTTTATCTATTCTAAACAATGGATACTTAATATTGCATATTTTTCATTATCATCAATCCTCTAAAGAAAATCATTTTATGTAGACTTCCTTGTCTGATTATTTTTAATAATTTCAAATGAAAATTAGAATAAGCACATTCAAAATTATGATCATATAATTGCATGGTTTCTTCTCACTTTTTACCTCCCTCCTTAATCTTTTTTTTTTGGGGGGGTCAGAGTCTCACTCTGTCGTCCAGGCTGGAGTGCAGTGGCATGCTCACGGCCACCGCAACCTCAACCTGCTGGGCTCAGGCAATCCTTCCGCCTCAGCTTTCCAAGTAGCTGGAACTACAGGCGTACACCACCACACCCAGTTAATTTTTTAATTTATTGTGGAGATGAGGTCTTGCCAAGCTGCCCAGGTTAGTCTCAAACCCATGGGCTCAGGCAATACTCTCATCTTAGCCTCCCAAAGTACTGGGATTGCAGGCGTGAGCCACCGCATCCAGCCCTCCCTAATCTTCCAAATACAAGTATCCTGACTCTCCTTATCATGGCCAAGAACAGGTTATAAATATTCTCATGGTTTTGGTAATCTAAATAGGAAGTAGAGTGCATTTTATTATTCTCATTTATTTGGTTGTAAATGAACAGAATGGCTAATGTTACTAACTCTTGATTTCCTGTGAGAACCTAAGCACCTTTTTCCTATTTCATGTTTAAGAGGAAGAAGAGACCAAGAACCTCCTTGTTCTACCACTGTGAGTAATAAATGCAGTAACAGAACAGAAATGACTGGCAAATCTTCTAACATCAGTGGACATTTTAAATAAAGGTCAACTACTACTTTGGTCAAACTGCTTACTACATAAAGGGGTAAGAGAGGATCATATAAGCATTAAGTAGTAAATAAAATGCATGCAAGGTATGACCATGGCATGAAGAATACAGAGTCCAGGTCTTCCTGTGGGAAAATTTCAAGAATATTTGTGTGAAGCAGCATTTAGAACCTGTTGTCCTGTGCCATGTTAGACTATTCTATCTACAAAAGTCAATGTGGTACATGTCAAAAGCATCCCTTCTTGTTTTCAGAATTCTGGGAATAAAGGTTATATATAGGAAAGCTGTCACCGAAATGTTATTTAAAACACCTAAATGTCTATAAGCATTAAGTAGCTAAAATAAAAAAGCACATCAATTCAATGGGAATATGATGCAACTATAAAAGCTGAACAGTATGCGACATTATATAAAATAAGCACAATTTAAAATTAGATGTATGTATAATTACAGTTATGAATATGTATGAGGAATATACATGAGAAGTATAAGACAAAAAGAGCCAGAGAAGCAGTGAAATGAAGGAATTATCCATTTCTACTATTTTCTCTACTCCATAAAAGAAATCATACAAGGAAATAAGAAATAAAATCAAATAGAAAGTCAACTCAAAAGGGACAAAGGAAGCACCTGGTAAACAGCAGGTCTTCAAATGCCTGTTGTTCTCCCTGAGTCTTCCCAAGACAGAAAAAAACACATGACAATCTGAGTAGTGAGATGGAATTTGAACAGCAAGAGGCAAACCTTACTCACCTTGAACGTGGTCATCTTCCCTTCTACTTTGGAAAATCTGCAGAGTCCTGTATGATCCAGTTCTCAGGAAGGCAGAAATGTGCCTGGAAAGTGCCAGAGAAGGCAGAAAAAGAGACATGAAAGGTAGCCAGGGATGCTGCCTACTAACATAGATGTGTACTGTGAATTAGCACATGAATGTTCACAGCAGCATTATTTATAATAACTCCAAACTGCAAACAACCAAAAGGCCCTCCTACAGGTAAATGGGTAAAAAAATTGTGACATATCCATACAGTGGAACTTATTTGGAAAGTAAAAGGAATGAGGTAGTGACTGATGCTACAACATGCTTGAACCCTGGAAACGTCATGCTAAGCAAAAGAAGTCAGTCACAAAGGATCACATATTGTATGATTCTTCTAATGTGAAATGTCTAGAGTAAGCAAATGCATATAGAGAGAAAGCAAGGTAGCCACTACTCCGGATTTGAGATGAGAATGAGTTCTAGCTGTAAGCTGGCAGGAGGAATGCAAGTGGGAGATGAAAATGATCTAGAATGAATTATGATGATGGCTTCTCCAATCTGCAAAGTTCCTAAATATCACTGAATTGTACACTTGAAATGAGTGAATTCTATGATATGTAAAATACACCTCCATAAAGTGGGAAAAAATAATTTTAATCTACATGTCATTTAATTTAACAAGACTGGATTCTGATTCCATAATGACATTTATATTTGAATGAATGAATAAGTAAATGGGGGAGAAGTAGAAGCTTATCTTTATGGCAGAAGGCATACTAATAAGGTATATCCCCATAAGAAACTTCTAGGGATAGACCACTAGAAAAATCTGAAAGACATCATCTTGGCCAAGTGAGTACAGTTGAGATCACCAATGAAGGGACAAACTGAAACATTTGGTCCCTGTTATGTTGCAATGAAAAGGACATCTCACCACCTTTGTGGTATGCCCACCAATAATTCATAATCTGAACTTAAATGTGAAATATATCAAACAAATCCCAAATGAACATTTTTTTACAAAATTCAAAGCTATCAGGAATAAAAAGACAAAGGCTGTGGAACCCTTCCAGATTACAGAAGACTACAGAAATACGACACCTAAAGGTAGTACATAAAATTGGACTTTGAACTGGGGGATAAGAGTTAAAAGATCTTTAAATAAAAAACACAAATTTAAATATGGCACTGTGGGCAGAAAAAATTGATACCTAATATGTTGTCTAGCATTATACAATAGGTAACAATTAACTACTATTGGTGGTCATTTCGTAGGTATCTAATATCTAATAAATAATAATACTATCTCATCTAATATCTAATATTATCTAGCCAGTCATCATATGAAACCCTATGACCAGCCCTTCTTAAATGTCTCTGACCAAGACATCCCATGATTTCCCTGGTGTGGGCTTACTTGCTACAGAAAGCTACAATAAGCTATGTCTGGTTACAAGTTTGTTCCTGGTGGTATTTGGCTGCTGGGCATCATCAAAGCAAAGAGGCAAAATGTAAATAAGTGGTAAATTTGGGTAAAGACTATATGAGAATTCCTTATACATTCCTTATTTTTGCAACTTTTCTCTAAGTTTCAAGGGACATAGAAATAAAAACTTTTAAAGTATCAAGAGGGGCTGGATGTAGTGACTCATGCTTATAATCTCAGCACTTTGGAAAGCCAAGCCAGGAGGATCGCTTGAAGGTAGGAGTTCAAGAATAGCCAGGGCAACAATGAGATGAATAAAGATGAATATAACATGATAGTTTATTAGTTTATTCTCTCTTGATGGGGTTGAGAAATTTTCATAGTTAAACAGATAAAAGGGAAAATATTTTTAAATACAATATTTGTAATAAGTGACACAAAATAAGTGACAAAACTTTTAAAAATTTTAGAAAGATCCAAGCCCATGAGCTTTGTTCTCAAGGTCTTTAAAATCAAGTCCGAATTTACATTTCCCATTTGACTCCAGCTAGTTTCTCTGCCTCAATGAGGAAGGATCCAAGAGATCATCAACTTGAGCTCGGAACCCAGCCTGCCTCAGTTCCAACCCCATCTCCACCTCTTATTACTTGAGTGACAATAGGCAAATAACTTATGTTCCCTGGGTCTCACTCTCATCTTTTTTTTTTTTTTTTTGAGTGGGAGTCTCACTCTGTCACCCAGGCTGGAGTGAAGTGGCACAATCACGGCCACTACAGCCTCGACCTGCTGGCTCAGGTGATCCTTCCAGCTCAGGCGATCCTTCCAAATAGTTGGAACCACAGGTGCCCACCACCAGGCAGGGCTTAACTCTCCCATTTAAAAAAAAAATTATTTCTATTTATTTATTTATTTCTATTTATTTGTTTGTTTGTTTATTTTTGAGTTGGAGTCTCAATGTGTTGCCCAGACTGGAGTGCAGTGGCACACTCCCGGCCACCACCGCCTTGACCTGCTGGGCTCCGGGGATTCTTCTGTCTCAGCCTTCCAAGTAGCCGGAACTACAGGCGCACACTACCACACCTGGTTAATTTTTTATTTACTGTAGAGATGAGGTCTCATCAAGTTGCCCAGGCGGGTCTCCAACCTTCCGGCTCAGGCAATCCACTAGCCTCGGCCTCCCACAGTGCTGGGATTACAGGCTGAGCCACCGAGCCCGGTCAACTCTCACCTTTAAAATAGAAAAAAAGCAGTACTTCTACACAGAGCCATGGTGTGATATAAATGTGTTTATTTGTATAAAGTCCTTAGAAGCGAAGTTAGCAATTAAGGCTTCATCATTATCAATGCTGACGCCCGATTACATACTCTACAATGGATGTGAACGTTATTGTAAAAGAAAAATGACAAGTCACACTCACGTGGTGTGTGTCTGTCAGTAGTCAAGTAGTCACTCCCTCTATCTCCAAGCAGTCCTTGATGAGAAGTCAGGCTGCAGAAAGAAACAATGCTGTGTAATACCATAATTGTGTCACCATTCTTTTTTTATTTTTTGAGTTGGAGTCTCACTCTGTCGCCTAGGCTGGAGTTCAGTGGCACACTCACGGTCACCGCAGCCTCGACCTGCTGGGCTCAGGTGACTCTTCCGCCTCAGTCTTCCAGGTAGCTGGAACCACAGGCACGCGCCACCACGCCAGGCTAATTTTTTTGATTTATGGTAGAGACGAGATCTCGCCAGGTTGCCCAGACTGGTCTCGAATCCGTGGGCTCGGGCAATCCTCTCGATTCGGCTTCCCAAAGTGCTGGGATGACAGGTTTACGCCACCGCGCCCCGCGGTTTCGCCATTCTTGACAAAACAGTCAAGCTCCTCCCTTCCTTCTGGGGAAGCTAGAGACGCTCCTCCCTTTCCTAAACAAGAGGTCAGAAGGTGTCAGGGATTACCCAGTGCCTACAAGGCTCAGTGAAGGCCAGGGTCGATGCCACTGGACCTCTGACCCCATCCTGGGGACCCGACCATTTCTCAGGAAATTAACGAGATCACCATTCACTGCGTAACAGGTATGGTTTTAGGGATTTCGTTTGCATGACCTCTTTCAATTCCCAAAACATTTCTGTTAAGAAGGTCTTCATGGCCGGGCTCGGTGGCTCAGCCTGCAATCCCGCGCTTTGGGAGGCCGAGGTGAGTGAATTGCCTGAGCCCGGGGGTTCGAGACCCGCCT